TTCTTCTTATACTTCCAAATGCATTCTGTACTCTTTATTGTAAATGTTGAAATGTATTGTCACTTGTATTTCACTTTTAAAAATGACGTCAAGTAATGCCTAATAATTTTATATTATTTTTATTATTTTATTGCATTTGATTTTCGGTATTCAATGTTATACCCCACGTCATTGTTAAATTTGAAAGCTTACTAATATTGTAACAATGAATAGATTAAATATTTAAAAAAAAACAGAGCCGGACTTGAAATTAGTTTAATTAAATTGTGTTCAAATGTCCGAAACAAAAAAAATATTAAGTGTGGCATATCATTATACTCAGGAGACTGAGTTCTTTCAAAATCTGAAATAAAAAATGCAGGTCCGTATCTAAAAAAATTAAGTTGGCCTGTGTATCTCACAAATTATCAGTTAATTTGAAAATCTAAAAATACTATTAGATAACCCTAATAAAGTGACAATGAGAATGTGCAATTAGTTTTTTTGATTTTCTAAAAAGTAACGACAGGAAAAAATAAAATTAATTTTCAAAAAAATCACTTTTTTCCAAAAAACTCAGCAATCCTTGATATTTTTAAAACTTTTTTGATGACATCTTGGTGAACATCCTAAAGTATAACTTTGCCCCAATTTAACCATCTTCGTATCTCTTACGGTTTCCGAGATACCAATGCTCGTACCTCGAATTTGTAGCACCCTGTATAGGCCACCTCAAAATAAAATTCAAAACTATACAGGGTCCGGCAATAGTGCATTGGGCATCTGTAGCCCCTAGAATAAAAAACTTGACAATTTTGTTTAAGTGCAAATCTAAGGTATGTACCAGGATGTATTTCAGGAAAATATTTTAACTTCTATAGGATGGCTCAAAAAAGTGTGAGTGGACCTGGATGATTTTTTTTAAATGGAACACCCTGTATATTATTGCATTTTTGGCTTCCTTTCAGATCACTTTACATAACCCTAAGATATGAATAATATAATACATATATAATACATTTCGATAGTTTCAGAGATATTAAAAAATAAATCAAAAATATATATTTTTCAGCCCTTCTTATAAAAAAAATTTTAGAAATACAAGAACTGTTCTGAAATCAAAACTATACTAAGTATTTACTTTAGATGGTCTGTACTTACTTATTATATGAAAATCTTAAATTATACAGGATGTTCAAAATTCTACGCCAAACTTTCTAAAATATAAAATAATTTTTCTTCGTTTTTTTAAATGGAACACCCTGTATATTATTTTCTCAATAGATGGAGAATTAAAAAATGAACATTTTTTGTATTTAGAGTATTTCAAAATTTTTAACGGTTTTGCAGATATTTGCGGTTTTATATTTCATATGGCATTTTCCACAGTAAATTTTTATCAAAGCCACCCAATGATTTTTCTCTCGTATTTTACCATTGAAAGCGCCATATGAAATAATACTGCGTGTATCTGCGAAACCGTTAAAAATTTTGAAATACTCTAAATACAAAAAATGTTCATCTTTAAACTCTCCATTTAATAAAATATACAGGGTGTTCCATTTAAAAAAAACAAAGAAAGATTATTTTATATTTTAGAAAGTTTGGCGTTGAATATTGAACATCCTGTATGATTTACGATTACCATATTTATAGCAAAGTAAGAACAGACCATCTAAAGTAAATACTTCATATAGTTTTGATTTCAGAACAGTTCTTGTATTTTTAATATTTTTTTTAAGAAGGGCTGAAAAATATATATTTTTGATTTATTTTTTAATATCTCTGAAACTATCGAAATATATTTATTCATATCTTAGAGTTATGTAAAGTGATCTGAAAGGAAGCCAAAAATGGAATAATATACAGGGTGTTTCATTTAAAAAAAATCATCCAGGACCACTCACACTTTGAGCCACCCTATAGAAGTTAAAATATTTTCCTGAAATACATGCTGGTACATACTTTAGGTTTGCACTTAAACAAAATTCCCAAGTTTTTTATTCTAGGAGCTACAGATGCCCGACGCACTATTGCCGGACCCTGTATAATTAAACTTGATGATATACTGGAAAGACAGAAAGAAGAGTATGGTGACAATTTGATCTTCTAAAACTCCAAGTAGAGTGAGACACAAGCTTAATAGAAATGAATGGATACGAACAGAACCAAATTTCCAGAGAAAAATGCTACTTCAGAGGACAGAAAAACAGCGTCAATACTTGATCATATATAACAACCCAGAATATAGACTGTAACATTACTATTGAAGACCATTGCATATCAGACCATAAAACGATATATGTAAAAATTAAGAAAAAAGTGTATGAAAGAAAAAAATATCCAGAAAATCACTTTATATCGACGTTCTAAGAACTTGCTGCAGATAACAATGGAGTAGTTGATATTGGTTGCATGGAAAACAACAAAACATTAGGTATGTGTTGGAACGGCGAAGGAGATATTTTTTCTTTTCGATTGGAAATCAGTCAAGTTCAAGGTCACCAAAAGAATCGTATTGTCAGAAATCTCTCAAATTTTCGACCCTCTTGGTCTCCTTAGTTGTTGCGTAATCTTGGTAAAGATTTTTCTTCGTGATCTTTGGTTGGAAAAGTTAGATTGGGACGATGCCCTTTCCCAGCAATTATATACAAGATACTTACAGATTCGTAATGATTTAAGATTTTTGAACAATTTGAAAATTGATAGGAAAGTCATTTGTAAGAATGCAAAGCTTGTAGAGCTGCATGTATTTTCGGACGCGTCGTCTTATGCTTTGGGAAGCTGTGTTTATATTCGAACGATCGATAATCATGGTAATATTTTTGTCAAGCTTTTGTGCGCTAAATCAAAGGTTGCTCCCTTAAAAATACAGACAGTCCCGCGTCTCGAGCTTATGGCAGCTGTGTTAGCTGCACGTCTCTGTGAAAAGGTTCGGCAATCCATGGAAATTGAGTTTAATAGCATCACATTTTGGACCGACTCGACGATAGTTTTGGGCTGGATAAACACCTCTCCGCATTTGTTGCAAGTTTTCGTCGCCAATAGAGTTAATTCGATCCAAGAGCTCACAAATATTGAAAATTGGAGGCATGTGCGAACCCAGGACAATCCAGCTGATTGTGTGTCACGTGGCATGAAGCCTCAGGAGTTGTTAGAGTTCGAAATGTATTGGTCAGGACCAGATTGGCTTCGAGAATCCATAGAAAGCTGGCCTGAGCCTCTTGTAGTGTCCAGATCTAACGAGTTGCCTGAATTAAAAAGGGTCGTTGTTGCAAATACATCTACGTTAGACTCTGAGTTTATAGATTTGTCTAGGTTTTCCAATTTAACTCGATTGGAACGAGTGATTGCCTACTGTATTCGTTTTATAAATAATTGTCGTAGAAAAGAGGATGAAAGGTTATCGAGTTCTTTAAGTTGTGATGAAATAAGTCATGCGTCCTTAGTATTAGCTAGGTTGTCACAACGTCAATCATTTTCCGAAGATCTTGTAACATTGTCCAAGCAAGGGCAAGTTAGTAATAAAAGTAAATTAATAAAGCTTCATCCATTTTTAGATGAAAACGGTTTAATTCGTGTCGGCGGACGTTTAAACAACTCAGATTACGTATATGAGAAAAAACATCCTATTGTGTTGTGTTCAAAACATGTTTTTACTAGGCTTTTATTCGCTCGTGAACACAAACGGCTACTGCATGCTGGCCCACAGCTCTTATTAGCTGTTATTCGGGAAAATTATTGGCCCATAGCAGGACGTAGTTTAGCTCGTAAAGTTTTCCATCAATGCGTAATTTGTTTTCGAAATTGTCCCAAAGAAATTAGCCCGGTGATGGGTGATTTACCAAAGCGGCGGGTCACACCATCTCCTCCATTTTACGTAACTGGCGTAGACTACGCTGGTCCCTTCCTAATCAAGGATAGACAGGGACGCGGCTGTCGCACTCAAAAGGCTTATATTGCGGTGTGATAAGGCGGTCAGTATTCATGGGACACAGGGCACAGAATAAATTTTAATAACGCTAAAACTATAATGACAGAAGCGATAGCCTCGGAAAAGAAAAATAAAAGAGGCTTTTAATACAATCTAATAAAAATAAATGTATTGCTCATGCATCTGTAGATGTTAGTAATGTATGGCAATCTCTTTTGATTTAAACAATAATAATAATAATAGCTCCGGTTTATAGTTTGACGCCTTGGGAGTAGCAAGATACAGCTTGCCATGCTAGAGCCGTTCGGTATGGGCTAAGGAAGATAATGTGGCTAGCACTACGCTTCAACCGCTTATTATTACCTCAGGATTGTGAATCTCGGGCACCCATTTAAAGCTGAGTCAACCTAGAAATCTAAACTACTTTTATTTTAATAAAAATAGTCGGCTGATGAAGTGCCGTGTAGAACCCACTATTTTGAGATTGGTAGACGAGAGCCTGTGCTCTACGCCACCGAGCACCGTTGATTTAAAGAACATAAAATAAAATAAACATAATGATACGTAAAAAATTAAAAATAATTATACAGAAAGTTTGGGCTTTTTTGGTTTTGCCTATTAAGTAAATTGTTATCAGGTAGTAATTGTTAATTTTAGTTTTAAGTTGATATAATGTCATTTTAACAGAAACTTTTGTACACGTATCTGTTTTAAAACTAAAGTGTTCTCGAATTGAATTTTAAATATTTTACCTAGTTTTTTTCTTTATTCTTGTATTTCTTTTTTACCTGACGACGGAAAGAGATAAATTTTCCGAAATGTTAAGCGATTGTTCGTTAGGCAAATTTGTATATCTTTAAACCTAACTTCTAACAAGTAGTTTCCATTTGGGATTAATTTAATATTTCATTTTATAGATTTTCTTGCAGTGGCGAGAAACCCATATAGGATTTTTTTGAGGGAACCACATAGGTTAGAAACATCCATATTAATGCATACTTAATATAATTCTAATGATATAATATTTTCAGGACAAATATTAATATTATGTAATAAGTTCCTATAGAAAATTTTGAATTTGTTAAAATTTGTATATTTTGATGTAAAATTTTACCAGTAAAATACATTTGAAATTTGGTCCAGTGTTTTCACTTAATTTTTTCAAAATTACATTAGTTTGGTTTGGTATGTGGTAATATAAAAAAATATTAAACAAAATGGATGACATGTTGGCATTATATCAATCACATAGGTGTGAAACATCGATATTAGTGGATGCTTAATATAATTTAATAATAAAATATTTTAGACAGATATTAATATAATGTAATAAGTCTCATAGAAAATTTTAATTCGTTAAAATGTTTGTATATTTGGATGCAAAATTTACCAGTAAAATACATTTGAAATATGAATCCAGTGTTTCCCTTAATATTTTTTTTCAAAATTACATTAGTTTGGTTTGTGGTAATATAAAAAAATATTAAACAAAATGGATGACATGTTGGCATTAAGTATCAAACACATAGGTGTGAAACATCGATATTAGTGGATGTCAGTCATAATTTAATAATAAAAATATTTTTAGGACAGATATTAATATATTAATATAATGTAATAAGTCTCATAGAAAATTTTGAATTCGTTAAAAATGTTTGTATATTTCGATGTAAAATTTACCAGTAAAATACATTTGAAATTTGGTCCAGTGTTTTCCTTAATATTTCTTTAATTATTTAATATTTTTATATTACACATACCAAACATTAGTTTTGTTTGTTTAGGTAATATAAAAAATATTAAACAAATGGATGACATGTTGGCATTATAATCACATCGATTGTGAAACATCGATATTAGTGCATGCTTAATATATAATATTTTTTAGGACAGATATTAATATTATGTAATAAGTCCCCATAGCAATTTTGAATTTGTTAAAATGTTTGTCTATTTCTGATGTAAAAATTTACCAGTAAATATGGAAATTTGATCCGGTGTTTTCACTTAATATATATTTTTTCAAAATTACATTAGTTTGGTTTATATGGTATAAAAAACATAAACAAATGGTTGACATGTTGGCATTATATCAATAACATCGGTGTGAAACATCGATATTCGTGGATGCTTAATATATAATATTTTTAGGACAGATATTAATATTATGTAATAAGGTCAAATAAAAAATTTTGAATTTGTTAAATATATTTGTCTATTTCGATGTAAAATTTACCAGTAAAATACCTTTGAAATTTGGTCCGGTGTTTTCACTTAATATATTTTTTTCAAAATTACGTTGGTTTGGTTTGGTATGTGGTAATATAAAAAATATAAAACAAAATGGTTGACATGTTGGCATTATATCAATAACATCGGTGTGAAACATCGATATTTGAGGATGCTTAATATAATATTTTTAGGACAGACATTAATATTTTGTAATAAGTTCCCATAAAAAATTTTGAATTTGTTAAAAATGTTTGTCTATTTCGATGTAAAACTTACCAGTAAAATACCTTTGAAATTTGGTCCGGTATTTTCACTTAATATTTTTTTTCAAAATTACGTTGGTTTGGTTTGGTATGTGGTAATATAAAAAATATAAAACAAAATGGTTGACATGTTGGCATTATATCAATAACATCGGTGTGAAACATCGATATTCGTGGATGCTTAATATATAATATTTTTAGGACAGATATTTCAAGGATGGAATTATTCGATATATAAAGTAACATATTTAATATTAATATATTTCGTAAATTAATAATTCGATTGAAAGGAAATATAAGATAAATAAAGTTCATTAGCATTTACGCAACAAAAGTAAAGTTTTAAAAATCAAAGTTATAAGCATAATTGGCAATTGCGAAAATATTTCCTTTCAATACTACGAATTTATAAAATCATCAAATCAGCACTAACGCGGTCATCGCACCGGTCATCGCACCGATAGACCAATAATGCTGATTCGATGATTCGACGTAACGAACCAATAAATACAAAAATGTCACCTATTGGGGGGATAGTCGAGAATTGATGTTCGATAAGGTCGCGGTCGAGATTCCGGCATTGACGTTACACTACCCTGACACTACCCTCGAGCCAGTGATGATGTTCGTCCATAAATATAATATGTAAGTACACATTTAGTTTTATAATTATTTTATTATTCGTAGATTTCTCAATTAAATTGATTATTGGGTTAAATTGAAGTATTTATTATTTGCTATGCCCTAGTCGAACTCCACAAAAATGGGGTGTGATATGTGGTGAGGCGCCAAGCTCTCTTTAATAATTATAATAAAATAAAATTATATAATTAATTAAATAAATATTATGACTATTTATAATTATATTGATGCAGTTAATTTACGAATAATAATTATGTTTATGTTTATTGATTACAAATGCTATTCTTTCCAAATTATAACTATAATGTTTTAAGATAATTTTAATTACAGTATACTACTCCAGTTTTTTCTTATTTATTTTTTTTAATTTTATTTTAAATTTATTTATAACTTCATATTATCTATGGCAAAAATAAATAAAATTAAGGCTTTAGAATATCTCCGAGATAGCCTATCATAAATCAAGGAATGAAAAAGAATAGTTAAAATTCTCAAGAAATCCTTAAAATTAAAATAGATATAAATGTTTAGAAAGAACGTTAATAGAAAGACCGTATACAAACTGAGAAAATTAAACGGAGAAATTAAGTATTATGCTGATATTTTAATTGTAAATTGGAAGGAAATAGCAGACGAGCCGACTTCGAGTTAGAAAACTCTCATTAATACAACTGTGCGAATTGTGGCATAATATATAGTATTGTTCATTTAGGCTGAATTCATTTTTAATTTTTTTTTACTCCATATTTTTACTGTGTGTCTATTTTACTATGTTTCTTGAATATTTTTTACTGTTTATTTGATACCTTTAACCTATAACCTATAATAATCAATTTAGGTTCTTAAAAAAAAAAAAAAAATTGTATTTGTGCGTTAAAATTTAGATTTATACTTATGAGTGATGATAAAAGGGTAACTCGGAGTCAAAAAATAAAGAAGCTGTAGAAAGTACTCCACCGTATCAAAGATTGCCCCAGATTGAAAATAATTTTAATCCTACTCACAGAAGTACTAGTATTAATCCGTTCCAACCAGCATCTCTGTCACGTAGCCCTGAAAGACTGCAACTCCCGATACAAATAAAACTAAATTTAGTCTTGTTTTACCAAAAATTGTCAGGAAGAAGCCATACCTTCATCTACCGTAACTGGATAATTTGAAATTATTAATTTAAATTCAATACCAGTTACAGAAAATAATACTTGTAAACAACAAACTCAAATTGTTAATACACCTCTAGAGAAACCACGTACACTAGATTAAATAAAAACCGAAAAAGGCTAACGCTAACAACAATCCTCAATCAAGATGGCGAACCGCGAGAACGCGTGAAGATCCTGAGAGCAAAAGTGTAAAAGTGTAATCAAACACCTACATCGGGTCCCAATGTGTAAACTGCCAATGTATTATGCACCCGGATGTGTTAAATACCTAGAAACGTGAAACAAGTGGATGATGAAACAATAATATGCTGTGATAAGATACGGATAAATGATAGCGATAACAAAACACTTGAAAATGACAGTTCAAGATATCAAGTTGGTTCACGAGATTTTAACAAGTTGCTCGGAAGTACAGAAGAAATTCAGACTCAGCATAGTCCATTTCACTATTTGCATCAGATTATAGATGAAAAAGATAATTACATAAAGTATTTAATGGAAAATATTAATTTCCTCCAAGAACAAGTAAGAACACTTAACAGCGTGCTACTCCAGATCAGCTCATTCCATGGAAACAATCACACCGCCCAGCGAGTGTCATTAAACCTACTGCAGACACCTGGCGAATTTGTGAATAATGATTCTATCGATCGAGCGTTGAGTAAAGATAGTGCTGCCTCTGCGGATACAGTTTCGAAGCGTTCTAAACAACAGCAGGAACCCAGTCCATCTATTA